TTCTAATAAAGCATATGTATTCCACGACAAATGTAATTTTCGTTTCAACACACTATAAAGACCATACATAGGCCCAGATATAAATACTAGTGATAATACTATTTGGTAAAAACAAGTCCTTCTGTTGTACATAGTACTGCTGCTAAATATGGAATATTTCACCGCACAAGATTATTACTAAGACTATTGAGAGGAGTCTTAAAACTTTAAAGCAAAACATAAAATTCAAATGTATTAAAGAAAAGTTAAGTTCTCTTCTTCAAGAAACATTGTGATCAGAGTATAATATCTTCTCTTGTTTCTACCCTTGCTCTAAAAATGCCATTTTGATAATTTAACTATTTGGAAAGCTATAAAAATATATTTTAAGGTAGTACAGAATTATGCCTAAACTTAAAAGCCCCAAAATGCACACAGACAGCGTTTCAGTGAAAAAACAAACAAACCAGTTTTCAGGCTGTCCTTGCTATCTATCAGTTTTGCATTCCAGCTTCTCTTAAGGATAAGTAAGTAGCCCAACACTGAATTTCAGAACCTCTGTGAAACAGCTTCAAGATTCCACAAACCACACACTTACATGCTCTTTAGCTAAGCAATACAAGAGGAACGGTATTGAGGGAAATTTAATTATCTGTCACAGAAAAAATCTGACGATAACTAATGGTTATTTTGGGGTGGTGATATTATGGGTAATTCTTTTCATTATCTATACTTTAAAATTTTTCAATTATAAACATGATTGATTTGATAATACATATTACTTTTTAATGTGAAAACAGTATCTTCTCACTTGGTAATTTCCCTTCTAGGAATTTACCTCCAAATTTCACTACCCACTCCTGCTCCCTCCCCCAGGAAAAAATGCACAGAGTTACATATACAAAGATTATTCACTGCAAATTATTTACTCTAAGTGAAAACTGGAAATTACGTAATGTTTAATAAGAAAATTGTTAAATAAGAGGATTCATCCACTAGGTGAAACACTATGCAGCTATTAAAAATATTTTATGAAGTTAGATATATTAACCAAAATATGCTATAATGATAAATGGAAAAAAGGATACAATTTATATAAGTGTATATATTATATGATCTCATCTATGGAAAAAAATTTTAAAGGCTAGAGGGAAATATGTCATAAGAATGATTTACTCCCACTGGTGGAGGAATTACACATGTACTCTTTGTACACTATATGCTTCTATTTTTTATAGTAAGACTATTTCTTTAATACAAAACAAAACAAAAAAGTTTAAGGGCACAAACGACTTTTCTGGAATTTTATTTAACAGACAAAACCAACAACAAAAAAAAACTAGCCATACAATTAGAAGGAAACAATTCCTTGCTAGCACAGTATTCATGAAATAAAACACTACTCAAGGACACACACAGCATAGCAAACTAGCAACCACTATTGCCTAAAATAGTTTAACAGTCTAAATGCTATTATTCTTTTCCCATTATGCTAATTTTACAAAATTAGCTACTCTAATTCATAAACCACAAACCAACACTACAAAGCTTTTCTGAAGTATTATATTAGGAAGCTGGATTCTACCACCACCTGCCTTGCCTTTTGTGTGCAAAATTTACATAGAGATCTAACATAAGAATACTGCTTCAGATGAGAATGTAATTACATTTCTTAAACAATGTTAAGCTATTTGATAGATTAGACCAAAATGAAGATCTCTTTTTGTGTACTGATTTTTCTTTTCCTAAAAGGCAAACAGTCTTGGATCTCCCAAGCTGTGTAGAAAATACATCATTCTTCCGTGATTCAGAACGAGTGACAGAGAAGTGCCAAGTGAAAATAACTGGGTCCCTGGAGTGCCTGGGTGGCTCAGTTGGTTAAGCAGACAACTCATTTCAGCTCAGGTCTCGGTCTCAGGGTTCCTGGAATCGAGCCCTACCTTGGGCTCTGCATTCACAGAGCTGAGCCTGCTTGAGATTCGCTCTCCCTCTCTCCTTGCCCCTCTCTCTCTCTTTCTCTCTCTCAAAAAATAAACATTAAAAAAAAATAACGGGGTCCAATTTTTCATCACACGGACATTTAAATTAAGTCCTAAAATTTGCCATGGGTTCAAACTTGCAAAACAAGACCTCTAAGTTTTGAAACACAAACTTACATTGATTTTAAGACATACTATATCGAAGAAATTTCTATAAGCCTAAGTACGATCATGGTATTTATCTGATATTGTTCTTTACACCACTTTAATTTCTCTCACTGTAATTACTGTAATACGTTCAGCAATGAGAACCTAAAATAATAAATAAAACGTTAAGGGTGCCACTAGCCATCTTATTTACAGTATTTGAGGTAGCTGTATTGATTGAAGACACAAATCAATCAAGTGAAGACACAATCAATCAATCATCCAGCGAATGAAGATAACAAACACTGCTTTAAAAATCCTTATTAATAGTATACTTTAAGAAACTGTATCAGTGCTGTTGCTAAACAATTCTTAATGCAAATTACAGAGAAAGTTCACAGAGCAACTCTCCAAAACTTCAGATCTACAAGAACTTTTTCTCTTCACTACCCTCCTATTTCCCTCATTCCTCTCAACTTTAAAATCGCCACTCACACCAAATTACCAGGAACATGCACCCATCTTAAATTCACATTATTTCTTATCATATGTTAAGGGCACCTTTTCTAAAAACCTTTTTTAAGTTTATTTTATTTTATTTTTTTGAGAAAGAGACTGACAGAGCATGAGCGGGGGAGGGACAGAGAGCGAGAGGGAGGGCAAGAGCCAGGATCCCGAGCAGGCTCCCCACTGGCCGGGAAGAGCCCCACCAGGGGCTGGAGCCCACCAACCATGAGGTCAGAATGTGAGCTGAAAGCGAGTCCAAGGCTTAACCGACTGAGCCACCCAGGTGCCCCAAGGCCACCTTCTTTTGAAAAGGAAAGGGAGATAGGTGGGTTCTGTGGACTAGAAATTGAGCTTTTAAATTAAATCATTTTACACATGTATACGAGGATCTGAGCGATCTTTCAGGATCCAACCTGTGCCTTTAATTACAAATGCATCGATCTCAGTATCTGATAGCCAAACCACCGTACTGCTCCACAGTGCCCCCTAGCTCCACCAGATATATCAGTTTAAAAGGCACTCGGTTTAAACTGTCAACCTCAAGCTAAAGTGTCACTCACACCAGCTCCACGTAAACAGTTCTTAAATCGATACCGTATTATCTACATTTGACCTAATAAATAACAGCTGAATTCATTAAACCTTGCAACCAACACTGTTGAAAGCTGATGAGAAAAAAAAATTATGAACTAATGGGTTTGGAATTCAACCACATAAAAAATGTTCAGAAGTTCTGTAGACGTTTTCTTTAACGCACAATTGGTTCGATTTTTAGGGTCCATAAGCAAGGGCTCATTACAGATATACAATTAAAAATGCCTTCTTTTAATGTAATTTATGGGGAAAGAGCAAGGCATTAGGCCATGGTTCTTTAGAGGGATGGCATCAATGTCTTCATTTTTAGTAATGCTGGGATCAGGATTAAGTAATCTCATTACAGTCCCATTATTTATCATTACAAACTTAGCATAATTGGTAACAATGGTAAATTTGTGACCTTGGTCCTGATACCAAAAAAATAAGTCAGATTCGGAATCCCTCAGGACTGGGGGGGGGGGGGGAGGACAAAAACTGAAGATGACATAACGCCAGATGCCCCTACTTTTTGGAAATGGACTCCTTCACATTAAGCAAAACTTCCAAGAACAACAGCAACAAAAATGACTCAAGTTTTCAAATGTCCTTCACCTTACATAGCAATTCTGGGAAAAAAAAAAAAAAAGTCCTAGGTTATTGCATATTCAAGCTGTAGTGCATTTGCACTAATAAGGGGAAAAACTGAATAGGATGAAAACCGGGTAGAAAAAAAAATACTGAAAAAGGACGAAACTCCAGACCAACTACAATAAGGCAGGGTAGAGTACGTCAAAAACACAAGGTTTTATTCTAAAGAATGGTTTTAACTGTTTCTCTGAAGTATTTAATTTGCACGTCTTAAAATAGAGACCCTGAGGAGAGCAGCTTGAGGCAGTGAAAGGAAGGGGGGCGGGTTAGGTAAGAACAGAGACTCGTGAGAAGATATGTGCGGTGCATTAGAATGTGCAGCAGAGGGGGGGGGGGGGATGCAGGATTCGGCGTCGGGAAGCAGTTGAGGGCTTTAGGAGTAGAGAGGCGGCCTCAGATGTGGCTTAAGGAACGCGTCTTTGCAGCCAGAACGCACACCTGGTACAGGGACAACCTAGGCGAAGAAGGACCGAGCCACCGACTGTGCAAAGGCAAGGGATGACCATTTTAACACCAGTTCTATTGTCTGGAGTATTAGATGGAAATGCCTCAGGCACGAGATCAAGCGAGGCTGACACCAGATCCGAGACGCTGTCGGGCAAAAGCAGGGAGACAAGATGGACAATGGCCGGCCGGGCATTCCCGGCCACCGGGGGGCCCCCCGTCCTCGCCGGGCCAAGGAGGGGCGCCCCGGTCATGGGGGCCGCGCGATGCCCCGTCGCGGGAGTCCGGGCGCAGGCGGCCCCGTCCCTCGCCGCGCAGCCCGGGAGCACCCAGACTTCCCCTCCCACCCCACCCCCCAGCTGAAAGCAGGGAAGACGCGGAACTTGGGCTCTGGAGCGGAGGCCACGGACCAGGTCACGGCCCGGGTGGGAGGCTCTGGGCGAAATTCTGTGTGGCCACCGAGGGCGGCGTAGAAAAGGCAAAGCCCCGGCTGGTCGGGTTACTGACTGGACGACACTCGACTCCGGGGGAGCGGGCCCCGAGCCCTTCGGCGCTCACCGACCCCCTGAACCTCCCAGGTCCTCACTGTCCCAGGCCCCTCGCCTCAGCTGGAGACCCAGCCCCCCCCACCCCAACCCCCCGCTGCAGCCGCCCCTCCCGGCCAACAGCTCCTCTCCCGGACCCTCGCCTCGGACGCTCCCGCCGAGCCCCGGGCCGCACCTCCGTCTTGGTGATCCGGTGCCGCCCCAGCTTCACCACGGCGAAGTTACCCTTGCCCAGCGTGCCCTCGATGTCGTAGAACCCCACCCGGACCGGCCCGCGCTGCAAGTGCTTCGGGCCATCCGCCATGACCATGCTGGGCCCCGCTGCTAGACACGGCGGACTGGAGCGCGGGCTGGCGGGCCGGCGGCGCGGCTGGGCTCCGGCGACGCCGCTCCGCTCGCTCCCTCGCTCACTCCCTCCCGCTCCGCAGGGCCCGGCCAGGCGCGCGCCGCCGCTGACGTGCGCCGACGTCAGGGGGCCGGGGCTGGGAGGCGGGGGCGGGCCCGGGCCTCGATTGGTCACCATGGCGACCGGAGCACCGCCGACGTCGGCGGCGGGGAGGGAGGGAAGACGGGCGGGGCCTGGACGGCGCGTTCTTTCCGGACTCCGGTGCCCGGGGTTCTCGACTGCCTCGCGGCTGCCAGGGGCGGGGTCGCCGCCTGGCCCGCCCAGTTCCTCGGCCACCCAGACGAAGGGCAAGAGCGAGCCCTGGTGGGCGGAACGGAGGGGTGCAGAGACCTGGCCCGGGTCTGCGGTCTCCTTCCCCTGCCTCGGCGTTCTCCGCCTACCTGGGGAGCTTCCCGCCAAAACCGCTCACCTGTGACTGCATTTGGCACCGGGCAAGAACTGTGGCTGAGCAACGCGTTGCTCACAGGCTCCTTTCTTTGTATCCTTTTCTCGTCTGTTTTTGTAGAAATCCCTCCACCTTTTGATGTCTCTGAGGAATCATTCTGACAGCAGCAGGGTCGCTTATAGACACACAGAATGTCGGCGTTTGAAAACACACTAGAGATCACTTAATCCAGGGATTTGGAGCCTCAAATGGGCTTCAGAGTCTCAGCCCGCCTAAAATGTATGCGAATGTTTGCTTTCTGGAGATGGTCTGTGGGGAGATGGGACCGTAGCTTTTGTCGGATTCGCAAACGTGTCGGTGACCCTGAAAAGGTTAAGAAATACCTGTCTAATCCAATTTCTTTTCAGATGATGAATCAAGCCCCAAAGAATGAAGGGAATTGCCAGGGTCATGCAGATCACGGTAGAATTAGGATTGCAAATCACCACACACCAGTCTTCCGTGTGGCGGCCCAAGGAAACAGGAACAGTGTTCTTGTAATATTTTGAAATATATTACATGGCGCCAGATCTTGCTTTCTAAATGCCAATCTCTACTAAAAGGAACCAGACTCTGAAGAAATGGCTGATTCGAGGTCAGAAAGATGGAAAGTATAAAATGTCCTTGAAGGTCTTGTGCCAGGAAGCAAGATTTTCGAGGAACGGTGAGCACACAACAAAAGGAAACGAGCCGGTTTGACGCTAACTCCACTTACCAAAACTGGGACAATTAGAGCACCATGAATGAATAATGATAAAAATGAAATTCATTGTGTCATAATTCAAAAAAGAATACACAAGTGCATATTTAATCTTAAACTGTTAAATAAATATAAAGGTGGGGGGAGAAATAACTTTTTGACAGTTAATGCACTGGAAGAAATGGTAGGAAATCACCATTTTGCAACCATTATAATAATTGATTCAGATATGGAATTCTCAATAGATTTAAAAATTATAAAATAAATGTTAAAATCCCTGAGACAGGATATTTACACACTCTCAAAGTATCCTCAGGTTTCTTATTCATTACAAAGTGACAAAATGGCACCTTTACAGTGGAGAAATCTGATAGACAACACCCTAACAAATAATCAAAGTTAACGTCACCACTTATGGGATAAAAATGACATGATGTGCCTTCTTATGTGAGATACTGACAAGGATACAGTGTCTCTTATATAGTATCTCACTCAAAAATCCATGTTCTGAATCTAATCACAATGAAACAATTAGAAAAATGCAAATTAAGAAATAGTCTACTCATCCATTGGCCTATACTCAAAAAAAAAAAAAAAGTGTCATGAATGATAAAGGCTGAAAACCCATTATAGATTTAAGTAAAGAGACCTGCCACTAAAGCCAACATGTAATTTTGAATAGTAAGAAACGTGCTATAAAGGAATATTTTCAGGACAATTGTTCAAATTTGAATATGGATTGTATAATAGATAATAGTTTTGTTTAAATGTTAATTAAGCCTTTTGAATTTTGTAATTGTGGTTATGAAATAGAGTGCCCTTATTAAGAGACACACACTGGAGTATTTTTGATATTGTAACTTACTCTCAAATGGTTTAGCAAAGATAGATCATACGGCAAAATGTTCAACTGATAAATCTAGATAAGGGGTATATGGTAGATATTGTATTGTTCTTGCAGCTTCTGTTTTAGTTTTTAAATGAAAATTTAATGTGTATATGTATACATTTTATATTATTAATATTCTTCATGTAGGATCAGTTGGTTCTTGGGCCTTCCACCCGCTGTTTTTCTGTCCTTCAATAAGGTATTGTGCATGCAATACCTTACTCCACTGTGAATTATGTTGTTTGCAAAAGTGAGAAGGAAGGTTGTCAGACAGGTTTCTGGATTGAGGAGAGTAGTATGACGGTTTTTATCACTATACCAGGAGCCCACATCCATACCATGGTTCAAAAAGAGTTCCTATATACATTTTGCCAGTTAGAGTAATGTGTTATAAATGCTCTGGGGTTGGGTTCCTTTGGGAACCCGATGCAAAGCTATTTACATAAGAACCCCAAAATGCAAATAGAGACCCATCTAAAGCTAACAACCTCCGCCTTTAAAGTACATCTTTTGAACAGAAATTAAGAGTCTTCTCCATCAGATTATTTTAATCAGATAACCAGGCCAACTACTTCCTTGCAGAGTCTGGAAATAGGACTCGATTTGGGGCTGGAAAGAGGAGGAGGAGATGGCAGGGAGTACCAACAGGATTTTGGCAAATGAGAGATCAGTGCGAGGATGCTGAGTGTCTGGAGGTCAGAGGAAGAGAAGCCATGGATAGGAGAGAAGTAGGAGGAGCTGTGCCAAAAATAAACCTTGCCCCCTTGGAAATGCAGCAGGTGCACCACTGAAAATTACGGTAGGCTGTAAATAGAACCCTGGACAGACTATGTGGACTAAGAGTATTGCAATCTTGGAATCTGTGATTCAGCTCAGTTTCCTCAGTCCAAGAGATCTACTTTCCCCTCTGCAGTTCTTTCCCTAAGTGTCTCTTATGTGCTTTTGCGTCAAATGACAGCTATATACATTTTAGAAATTATTAATATTATCCAACTCTTGTTTTCCTCTCCTCTTTCTCTCTCCCCCTTTTCCCTCTCCTCTTTTTTTCTCCCCAAACACACACACCACCACCACCACCAATCAGGAAAAAGAAAGTAAGATAAAAGGGAAAAAAGGAGACAAGAGAGGTTTCATGCAATTTTTCATCTCCAGTTTTATTATCAATGAGGGAGAACACTCTGGATACCACATTTCCTACTTGCTTGACCTTTAAAATGCAATATACCCAGTTAATGCTGTGAATCCATTATATTTGCCATTGAGTTAGTAAAAAGATGTTAAGATAACATGCCAAAAGGCAAAAGCATGTATATATATAAACAATTAAGAAAGATGATGAGAAGCTGAGATAAGAATGAATTCTAGAACATACTGAACTTAGAACAAAAATGTGGAGAGGAGTTAGCAAAGAGTTAACGCAAGAGTGATTTGAAATGTGAGGGGAACCTTCATGGTTCACAGTGCTGTACGTATTTTGCTGAAACTGATAGTCTATGAACTTGAAAAACAAGATATGTGCCATGTTTCCTTGATCATGAACAACATCTGCATTTTTACTGTTTTGTTGTTTTAGGACAAAATAAAAGTCAACACACCAGGCAGCTCAGGACTGAATTCAGATTTAGTTCAAAACTGAAACCTGGTGGAGACTTTATTGGAGTACTTTGCTTAGAAAAAAGAGATTACAAAGCTAAAATGAATGCTTTTCTTTTTATATTACACAAGGAAGAATGTACATGAGAAAGTCCCAATCACTCACCTGTGCCAATTAAAATAGCTTCTGATGCTTATAAAATACAGGTATTCCCCAAATATGCATCGATCTGTCAAGTTAATGAACATGTGGGTGCCACTATGTTTAAGAAACTATTATGAAAATAAAACTAGAGGATGGACGCTATTTAAACAAGGCTTTCTTTGGTTCTTTTAAAGGATGGGTAGCCATGTTCTGGCTTCAATTTTTCAAGTTTAGTTTTGGCCGTGATGGATCTTCTCTAAATGAAAAACATGTGATTCTCCCTAAACTTTGAAAATCATTTCAAAATTTTTCTATCTCCTCCCAGATGACAGGTTTTCTTAGGATCCTAAATTTGAAAGGGATCTCAGAGTATCATAGGGAGTCTATCTTCCCTTCTGATACAGAAATCTCTAGACACTTAACAGATGGTGCCAAGCGGTGGTTTCCTGCTTCATGCTTCATGCTTCATTACATGTCTCACATGTAATCTATGTGAAACAGTTCATTTCAGTAGAAAATATGCCCTCATATTAGCTTTAAAGCTGCTTCTGACTTATATCCAGTTTTAGTTCTTTTACCTGGTACAAGACATTATAAGCAGACACACACCTACCATCATGTTCTTTCTTCAGGGGTCCAAGCAAAACATTCCCAAATTCACTGTCTACTTAATTATGTTTCTAGCCCACTACCCTTCCTTCTTGTGCTTCTCTGGACTCTGGTTTGTCAGTGTCTCTTAAAATATTATTCCCCAAACTGAATACAGTAGCCGAGGTATAGTCTAAGCGGTGTAGAATATTGGCCTGTCTCTCCTTTGATCCAGATGCCGTACTCATACTAGTTCAGCCAAAGATAGTGCAATTTTTCTTTTTTAGCAGCTACAGCCCAGAGTTAAGATTAAGGCCAACTGAAATTTCTTGGTCTTTAAAAAATTTTTTTAATGTTTATTTTTTAGAGAGAGAGAGAGACAGAGCATAAGTGGGGAGGGGCAGAGAAAGAGAGGGAGACACAGAATCTGAAGCAGGTTCCAGGCTCTGAGCTGTCAGCACAGAGCCTGACATGGGGCTCAAACTCACGAGCTGGGAGATCATAACCTGAGTCAAAGTCAGACGTTTAACCAACTGAGCCACCAGGATGCCCCTCTGGGTCTTTTAAAATAACAATTATTATTACCATTTTCTCGGACAACTGATTTTTCAAAAATATCAATACAGAATCTTATAGTTAAAATGTCATCTTGTTGGTTTTGCCCATTGTTCCAGCTAATTGAATC